TGATGTGTTGGTGTGTCACTGATGTGTTGGTGTGTCACAGGGCTGATGTGTCACCTTAGCATTAGCCTGGTGATTGTGTATGCGTTGAAACTTGCATCCTGGATGGATCGGTACATTGTAGTTGAAACTCAAGACTCACCAGTTGACTTCACATCAGGTGAAAAGTGTGTTTTATCCTCGTGAAATAGACTGTAAACATGGTAAAGTTTGTTACACTGAATTAAACTGGAAGTGGGTGACATTGTTATGTCATGAGAAGGAGAGATATCTAGTTTAATAGATATTACAGGTTGACTTGTATGCTTGCGCTATCTGAATAAAGTACATCACAGGGTTTCTCAGAAACTGGATCTGCATTGTTCACTGGGATGTGGCTTAAGTATGCAGGAAGGACATAAAATCTAAAAATACACTATGCACAAACATGCACTTCATTATGTTCTTAGTTATGGCTTCGTTGGGACGTTTTCTGTCCAGTCAAATCTGTAATTTTGTTTCAAGTTATTTTATGCAAAGAAAATATACATTAAACAACCTTTTAAAATTTGGTATTTCATAAAATTGCTATACACATGCTATATGTGACATCTACTAAATCACCATTTTCAGCATTATTTCATGTTTTAGAAAATGTGTAGATCAGCTGTTGAAGTAAACTTTCCACCTCGAAAGGGTGCACGGGAATCATGCACGCATGTTACGGTGTTAGCGTTGGGCGTCTCAACGTGTGTGATTCCCGTGCACCCTTTCAAGTTGAGTTGATTGGTTCAACTGTGTCATATGGCCCTGTGACCCAGGGGTAGCATTATGCAGATGGCTGTTTCAATGAATGCTCGTTCCACCCGTGTCAAACAGGTCTGGTTGTTGATGAAATATAGTGATAGCTAAATAGACAGATTTTTTATTCATGCACCGATTGTCTTTAAATGTAATATCCAGTTATGTATGACTGTTTAATAATCTCATACCAACTTTGACTGGAGTAGGTCCGATAGTTTTTCAGATATTGTAGTAAACGTTGGTACCTTAAATTACCTTCCAGATTATACAAATGGGGTTGAAAACAGTTTGGTCTAGGTATATCCGCGTGCACTTTTGCAAGACCACAGTGGTCAGATGTCAGTACAAGATATTGCCAAGTCCTCAGCAACCCATGCTTGTCGTAAAAAGTATACAATAACACAATGACAATGGTCAGCCAGGGTGTCTCGGTACATGATATTCCCCGATACAATGTGACATTACAAGTTATGCAATGCCACCCTAGTGGACAATGGTCAGCCAGGGTGTCTTGGTACATGATATTCCCCGATACAATGTGACATTACAAGTTATTCAATGCCACCCTGGTGGACAATGGTCAGCCAGGGTGTCTCGGTACATGATATTCCCCGATACAATGTGACATTACAAGTTATTCAATGCCACCCTAGTGGACAATGGTCAGCCAGGGTGTCTTGGTACATGATATTCCCCGATACAGTGTGACATTACAAGTTATGCAATGCCACCCTAGTGGACAATGGTCAGCCAGGGTGTCTCAGTACATGATATTCCCCGATACAATGTGACATTACAAGTTATGCAATGGCACCCTAGTGGACAATGGTCAGCCAGGGTGTCTCGGTACATGATAATCCCCGATACAATGTGACATTACAAGTTATGCAATGCCACCCTAGTGGACAATGGTCAGCCAGGGTGTCTCGGTACATGATAATCCCCGATACAATGTGACATTACAAGTTATTCAATGCCACCCTAGTGGACAATGGTCAGCCAGGGTGTCTCGGTACATGATAATCCCCGATACAATGTGACATTACAAGTTATTCAGTGCCACCCTAGTGGACAATGGTCAGCCAGGGTGTCTTGGTACATGATATTCCCCGATACAATGTGACATTACAAGTTATGCAATGCCGCCCTAGTGGACAATGGTCAGCCAGGGTGTCTTGGTACATGATATTCTCTAACAATGTTGTGTGGCATGCTGTAGAGGCACAGTGTGTGTTGCCCTACTGACCCTGCAGCTGTATAGATAGGCCTATCACTCACCAAGGTCACAGCCATGCTCCGTGTACAGGACAAGACCACATTCACCTCCTTGTCAAAGATCAGCCTGGATCAGGGTGACTATCTGTGCATGCCATGAGGCCCATGTTCGTTCGTTCGTTCGTTCGCTCGTTCATTCGTTCCCGTACAATGTTTGAAGCAAAGTGGTGAACTTCTGAGACCTGCATCACTTCAGACTTTCAGGCTTTCCTCCCACATTTAGCTGACACGCCATGACATATAACTGGAATACTGTTCAATGCCAACTCACTCACTCACAATGTGTGAAGCCTGTTTCTATTGTGCCCCTCATGATACATCTTCCCGATGCAAGATCGTCCTCTAGCCTATTTATCAAGGTCTAGTTTCCACCCTTGCCACATCAAGCTCGCTTTCCTGTGCTAAATATGATTGGATTATGGCACATATTGATAGTCCAACCAGAGAACATCTATTAAAATCAGCATCTGGTCCAAAAAACCATGGCCACTGCCATATAGCTTGTCGAATTTGTGCTGAAGTTCTTTCAACAATTAAGCGAAGACAAGTATTTTCTAATCATTCCAAGTTTTAGATCTATTTGCCCAAGTACTGCAATAGCGGTACCATAATGAGAACGGTCATTGGACATGTCTGTTACACATCAGTCATAGAAGCTAACGCCCATTCAAAAATTTAAAATAGGTTTTAACATTCACCCATTCACCATCTTGAATATAAGACAACCCCATTCTTTCTTATTACTATAGTTAATCTTTCATGGCATGACATATTAGCTGCAGTTCAATGAAAGAATTGGGTGATCCTTAACTTCATTGGTGGAGTATATCATCACACTTTGGGAACAAAATGAATTTCACCATCTGTTGAAGCTTTCAACATCAACTAAAACCATTTAACAAGTAAATTTCAATATCCTTGTCAGCAAGACAATCGGAAAATGTTCAATTTTTTAAACTATTTCTGATATATGACGACTGATGAAAGATTGTCACCACATCACCTGCTGCGTTCTATTTCAAACTTTGAAACATGTGAATGTTTTATTAAAAAATTGTTGATTTGAAAACAGCCGGTTCATCTTCTCTCAACCATGACAAAGGCAGAAAAGAATTGTAGATACCTGCTACTTTTTCGTAATAGCAGAAGTGATGCAGCGTTAAACAAACAATGATCGTTCCAGACAGTCGTGTTTATTTTGATATTACAGACATGTCATACATACAGTGTTTTTGTTTGCCTATTATTTACTTGATTTTCGCCATGTTCACTAGGGTTGTTACAAAAAATTACAATAAGATACTCTTTTGAGCCTACCTGCCCAAACTTGGCTTTGCGCATCATGTTTTATGCATATTAGTCTTGGCATATGGACTTCTATAGTAGCTGAGCTTACTTATCCGAACAAAAGTTTACAAGAATCAGTCTTCGGACTAGTTGCTAAAGTTGCAGACTGATCCTTATCCTAATTCAAATTCATGCGACAATACTTAAAAGGGGCGATCGGGTAGCCTAGTGGTTAAAGCGTTCGCTCGTCAAGCTGAAGACCCGGGTTCGATTCCCGACATGGGTACAATGTGTGAAGCCCATTTCTGGTGTCGCCCGCCATGATATTGCTGGAATATTGCTAAAAGCGGCGTAAAACCATACTCACTCACTCAATACTTAAAAACCATGCAACTTGTCATGCTATGGAGATAAGTTCCATGATCTAAGGTCTAATTCGCCATGTTCGTGAGGGGGTGTCGATCAGTGATATACACATGCTAGAACAGGCTGCGTAACATATCATATGACTGCTCCTTGTTGATGTTTGTTTGTTTTGTTTTGTTTGTTTGTTTGTTTGTTGTTTAAAGCCACACACTATTCCAGCTATATGACGGTGGTCTGTAAATAATGGGGTCTGGACCAGACAACCCAGTGATTGATATCATGAGCAATTGGAATACGATGACATGCAACATCCTGTTAGTCGCCTGTTACGACTAGCATGGGTTGCTGAAGGCCTATTCAAACCCTGAGTTTCATGGATTCCATGTTGATATAAACATGCTGGCATACTCAGCACTATGACAACTGTTATTGTAACAGCTGCATGTTATGCTTTTGATATTCATCTGTATTTTAAATAGAGTTGGAACAATACACCTACTGCGAGATCCGATACATGTCATACCTTGCTCACGATCCAATACGTATCATGTTACTTGCATGAGCGCTTGTCTTTGGTGCATAAGCCATCTTTTTCATAGACAGGATGACCAAATACCTGGCATATTAACGATTTACAGTTGGCTGTGTCAAGTCTGGTGCAGATGATGAAATTATTTACGTTTTCCTACTCATTTTCACTCGCAATTAATGTTTGGTGTAACATCTATTACAAGAACAAATTTAACGTAAAAATCAATACTTTTACTTAGTGTGCAATTGTGATCAATACTTTTATCGAGACGAAAAAATTGCGGTCCACCAATGCATTGGTGTATTGTCCCAATACTAATTGGAAACCATGCGCTTCAAATACCATGCCTTGCTAATAATGCCTGTTCCATGATTGAGAATGTCAGTGTGTAACCAATGCTACTGTATTGTTTCAGTCACCCGACGTCATGCTGCTCCATGATTGAGAATGTCAGTGTGTAACCAATGCTACTGTATTGTTTCAGTCACCCGACGTCATGCTGCTCCATGATTGAGAATGTCAGTGTGTAACCAATGCTACTGTATTGTTTCAGTCACCCGACGTCATGCTGCTCCATGATTGAGAATGTCAGTGTGTAACCAATGCTACTGTATTGTTTCAGTCACCCGACGTCATGCTGCTCCATGATTGAGAATGTCAGTGTGTAACCAATGCAACTGTATTGTTTCAGTCACCCGACGTCATGCTGCTCCATGATTGAGAATGTCAGTGTGTAACCAATGCAACTGTATTGTTTCAGTCACCCGACGTCATGCTGCTCCATGGCCGAGATCATGTCGGTGTTATTCTTCAACACCATGCGCTACACCACTGAGGAGCCACGGAGTGCCTCGGCTGACAGATTTGTCCTCTCCAAGGTACGGAAAACACACTTTCTTCTTTCCTTTCTTTGTTTCTTTGTTAAACGCCACTCTCAGCAATATTCCAGCTATATGACGGTGGTCTTTATATAATTGAGTCTGGATCAGACAGTTCAGTGATTGACATCATGAGCATCGATCCACGTAATTGGGATACAATGACATGCATCAAGCAAGTCAGCGAGTCTGACCACCCGATACTGTAAGTCACCTCTTACGACAAGCAAAGTCACCTTTTACAGCAAGCATGGGATGCTGAAGACCTTTTCTACTCGTCTTTATGGATCAAGTAAACATGCAGTCAGGTTTACCTTGTTGCTGGACAGCATCAGAATCACGTTTGTTTTCTTTGACAGATGTGTTTATAAGCAATGTTGTCTGCAAAACTTTTAAGATTTTGTTTTTATTTTGATAATTGATGCACACATCGACACAACCCTTAGCCATCCTTTCCAGTGAGAAGCTGACGTGCCATGTTTTTGTCATAGGAAAGAATGGGTGGTGGGGTAGCCTGGTTGTTAGTGTTTGTTTGGTACACCAAGGCCCCGAGCTCAATCCCGGTCTCCTGAAACATAGAACCATACTCACTTACTTACTCATGTGATAAGAAGCAGGACTAATTAACCAATTTTAGTTGGTCCTGACTTGAACAATTATGTTGCCAATGTCTTAAAAACATGACCGATACAACTTTGTTTCTTGGTGCGAAATATATAAATTATCAACAGTTCTTTAACCTTCTTCTCAGAACAACAATTTATCATCCAAAACTGGCTCCCACAGGAGATATCGCTTGAATTAGATCAAGCGATATCTACACTGTAGATATCGCTGCAATGAAATTACATCACAATGCTTTGCAGACCATTGTTACGTCACTGGTTACCATGACGTCACAATCAAATGACATCTCTAATGGCTCTGCTACTGAAGCTGTTAGCAGTACTTTTTACACTGAAGACACTGCTAATTACTGTCTACAAATTGAAAAAGTTGCAAGAATGATGTTGGATGATAAATAAAATCTCACCCTCGTGTCTTTTGATATCAAATATATCAACACTCGTTGATAAAAGTGGCAAAAATCCTCGGCAAGCACTTTTATCAACTCGTGTTGATATATTTGATATCAAAAGACACTTGGTTGAGATTCTCTATATGCTTGGATGAGGCTGTGGAAAACCTATAACCTGACACCTCTCTGTTGTTCCAGGGCCACGCTGCTCCTATACTGTATGCTGCCTGGGCCGAGGCGGGGCTTTTCCCAGAGGCCGACCTTTTGAACCTCCGCAAACTCAGCTCGGATCTGGAAGGGCATCCAACCCCTGTATGTCAATTGTGTTTTTGTTTTTACCTTTACATAAGCTCCCTGTATGTGACCTGTGTGTTTAGTACCTCAGGGCTCTTTCAAGAGAGGCTGAAGTTATGTTATTATTGTAAAAACTAATATAATGGCTTTTGCGTTTAGGAACGCTTATGAGACGCCCAAGGGATGGAAACGATTCGTATGGTAAAATCTTTCAGAACAAGGAACCTTCTTTATATTCAGCCTGTCCTAGTGATACATTGTTAATTTCTTCCCATGACCACTCCTCGATACAGAACAGGTGCGCCTATATGTCTACAAGGGATTTGGCATTGGTTCGCTGACAACACAGTTTTCCATGTGTCCCATTTTGGAATTTTTAAATATCTTTTTCTCCTTTTGAGTGCCACAGGCACATAGCTTGGTGTCCTAGAAAAATTCCTGAACCTTTACCTTTCCTGTAGGATTTTGGGGCATTTGGCATCAACAGTACCTCGTACTGGTTGCAAAAGACGAGTAAAATGGGGACACGGTGATCAGGGCCAGGAATTGATGGAATGCACTGTTGTTATGCTGTCAACCCCTGGCCTGATTGAGAAGACTTGTATATAAAAATAACGAAATATAATGAAAAAGTAATAAAAATTCTTACTTACCGTATTCGACGTAATAAGCGCCCAGGGCGCTCTCAAAATTAGAAATAGGGGGCTCTTATAAGAATATTATTTTGGTGAAAAGATATGAAAGATAAATTTCGTGGTTTATCCTGACAGCCTGAAGTGTTTATATACGACAGATATATTTTTTCCAGAATTTAATTGCCCATAATTGAGGGTGCATATTACACACGAGTGCGTATTATACACGAATAAATAGGTCTTGTGTCAATTGATCAATCGGAAGGGGTGCTAATTGGGATTGTTCACTAGCCAATATATTAGCAAATATCGCCGTGGGCGCTTATTAGAGCAGGGCGCTTATTACGTCGAATAAGGGTAACCATTATCACCCCGGTCAGTGGATCAGTGTGCACTGAAAATTTATTCGAGGGCAGTGGGTCAGGCGAGTGGTTAAAGTGTTGGCTCGTCATACCGAAGATCTGGGTTAGGGATTTCCCACATGCCGTGGTATTGCTGGAACACTGCTTAAAGGGGAAGTGTACACGCAAAAATCACTTTCTTTCTTTTTCTAAACAAAACGCAATTTTAGAATTAATTAGTATCTGTGTTTGAAAATATACACTCATTTTTTTCACAGTGAAAGTAGGAAGCTCACAATAGTGTGAAAATGATATGCCGTTATGAGACCTTCGTTTTTCGAGCTAAACAGGCCTGAGTTATCCCCCTAAGATTATGACGTAATTGGTGCCAATTCAACTGGGTCCCTGTCTATTCTCAACGCAAAAGATATCAATTACCAGTTTGCGGTAAAACAACATGGCCTACGACACACTCCGGCGCAGTGGTGACTCAGCATAACACTATGCTGGCTGGCATCTGAGATGCTAGAATCACACACCTAGACCTACACCACGTGAAACGGCTCTAACAAAGCATGATGACGTCATAATGTTTATCAATTGGCACCAATGACGTCATATTGCAAGGGGCATAAGCCATGGTGTTTTTGTTGTCGAAATAGAACACTTGGTAAATGTGAAAAATATAAATCATTTTAATGCGAAAAATATGTTAATTAATTGTGATATTTTTATATTTTTGTCTATGACACTTCTAGGTTAACACTTTTAATGTGGAAAAAGTACAAGAAAAATAGGTTAATTTCCGTGTGAACTTGCCCTTTAAAGCAGTGTTAGACCATACTCACTCACTCTACTTGTTGTTACCCTGTCTGGTGCACGGCATTAAAGGGCCAAAACAATTACTGGTTGGCTCGGAGTCAGTATACTGTGTGTGGTGCGGCATGATATCTCCGTGGCCTTGCATTATGAACTCGGCATTAGTCCTGACCAGCATGCACTCGCTCGCGGCACTCACTTACGTACATCGTTATATATTTGAGCAGTAATCTTGAACGCGACGTTTAACATTTCACCTCACCTACAGATATTTACAGGCTGCCATTATTGTTTGCCATACTCAGTAATGTTCCAGCTATATGACAGCGATCTGTAAATAATTGAGTCTGGACTAGACAAACCAGTGATTGACATCATGAACATCGATCCACGCAATTGGGATAGGATGACATGCATCCCGCAGGTCGCCTCTTACGACAAGCATAGTCGCCTGTTACGGCAAGCATGGCTTGCTGAAGACCTATTCTAACCCGGATCTTCACGGGTTAGGCTGCCATTATATAGCTTGCATATTGACTGTGTTGTAAAACAACATTCACTCACTTACGGTATATATTTTATGTTGCAGAGACTGAACTTCATTGATGTAGCTACAGGCTCACTAGGTCAAGGTCTGAGCGTGGCAGCAGGCATGGCGTACACGGCCAAACATTTCGATAAAGCTGAGTAAGTGGTGCAGCTATTTCAATAGACTAACATTAAGTCTCTGAAATCTTATATTACCCAATATCCTTCTTGACTCTAAAACTAAAAAAAATTTCCCTATACTGCTTAATAGAGCTAGCTAGGGCTGGCGAGACTTGCTTTTGTATGCGTTTTGAGATTTTTTAATATTTTTTTTCATAAAATAAATATATTCCACGGTCATGGTGCAGGACTACTATTTTAACTTCCATTGCAATATAGGTGATACCATTGCAAGAAAATACTCTTTTCCTGGTCCAGTTTTGGTTATATACTTGTTGCCATGTTTTAAGGCCATAGAATATTAATTGCTAGATTATCATCCCCCCGACCAACCTCCACCACACAAATTAATTTTATTTGCCTGTGTGAAATGTTTAGGGCTCCGTAATAACATTTCATGTTTACAACAAGCAATAGACTAACATTAAACTGGTCTACAACCAACTCTTGGTGCGTGCATGGTGCTGTCAGCTATCAAGATGGTGCTCCGTATTTTGAAAATACGAGACGGTGTGCAAACCATTAAGGACTGGTATGCCTGTCCTTTGCCAGAGTCTTGAGTTTGCTGGCAGGGAACTTGACAACTTAACATCAATTGAGGATAAATTCTTAAACGCACGAGTACAAGTTAGGGCAGGGAAAATGAAGATAGGTTTGACACATCAGACTGCTACTATTAAAATCAATATTTATTTATTATCTTTGTTATTTCAGTCATCTATTGTTCATACCAAAGTCCAGTCTTCGACTTGACGACTTTAATAGAAAATAAAACATAAAAAGCCTCCCTCCCTACTTTTGAAAAAAACCACGTATGATAATCTAGCAATTAATATATTATGGCCTACCTGGAAAATGTTATATTGGCACCAACTGAGGACATCCACATCATTGGTCTAGTGGATAGTGTCTGCCCAGGGAGTAGAAGGTTGGTGATTCAATCCCCGTCCAGGTCCTACCAAAAGACTTCTTGTTACTCAAAAAGGGTCTGGTCGGTTCAGAGTCACTACACTGCGTCTGAATTGGGTATTCATGTTAAACTGCAGCATGGTATCTCGGTGGAAGGGCACTATAAAACCGGCATTAGTCTGGACTAGAACAAGCCAGCACATGCACACGCATACACACACAGATGCACACAAACACATGCATGCACATCACTACAGTATACAATAGTCTTGAACGCAACCATTTCACCCCACCTCACCTCGTCTCACCTCGTCTCACCCACTTCGGAGTACTAACTGTTTCATGCCTTCTGTCTTGTGGAGGTGTTTATGAAGGAATGTAAAATGTTCATCATGTTGCAAACAATTCACTTCCTATTTTTGTTGATGATTTTCAGCAAGCAGTAAGTATTAAAACTGTTACCGTGGTTACCTTTTTTGGTCTGTTTTCAGTTGTGAGGGATTTGTTGTGACTGAGGATGGAATGCAGTATTTTGTGTTCAGTTTCAGTCAAATTGTAAATGGCTGTTGGCTATGTTTCATCTGTTGTCGTGACAAACAGAAACTAACCAGAGGTGTAATGGTTCCAGGGTTCGTACAGGCTTGAAAAAGCCTTGAATTTTAAGGTCCCTATTGAAAAGCCTTGATTTTTAGTGTCAACCGTGAAAAGCCTTGAAAAGCCTTGAAAATCACCAATACAGCTTGAAAAGTGTTGAATTTGTTCAAAATGACCTATATACTACTCAAAACAAGTGAAAGAACACCTGATATTTTTACATGACTACAGTTGATATGTAATAGCTGGTTCGTACTGCAACACATAGCCTTCCAATTGTGGGTGTTGTTTAACTTGTTTTGAGTAGTATACTTCTTAATCAATTTATTAAAGCACATAAAAATATGTACCAAAGGTGTTTCAGTGGGATTTATCACAGTGATAGATTTGTGTGCCAAAGATCCTGAAGAATTCATGATAGACTTAGTTCATATAGTTCTTATTGGAAAATGTGTGATGGTCATACTGCTTTTTAAGTCTGACGACTAATATATGGTAAACTGGATTCAATAATATACTGACAGACTAAGGCTAATATCCCAACTAAGAAAAACTTGAAAATGACAGTTGGCAGCCTTGAAAAGGCCTGGAATATTCCATGTCTGAATGAGCCTTGAATTCTCCCTGCACACCTTTCTATTGCACACTGTCTTTGTTACTTTGGTTTCAATTGTTATCCCCCTATTGTTGTGTTTCACTGAAATCAGTGTATAGTTAGTAAGTCAATGCTTTTTTCTGAGGTCGAAGATAAGTTCATTTAGTGTCTGCTTCAGAGTGAGCAGGCTGTGTATGGGACGCGTGGAAGGATGCTTAGTGTCTGCTTCACAGTGAGCAGGCTGTGTTTGGGATGCAAGGAAGGATGCTTGGTGTCTGCTTCAGAGTGAGCAAGCTGTGTATGGGACAGGTGGAAGGATGCTTAGTGTCTGCTTCAGAGTGAGCAAGCTGTGTATTGGACAGGTGGAAGGACGCTAAGTGTCTGCTTCAGAGTAAGCAAGCTGTGTATGGGATGCATGGAAGGATGCTTGGTGTCTGCTTCAGAGTGAGCAGGCTGTGTATTGGACAGGTGGAAGGATGCTAAGTGTCTGCTTCAGAGTGAGCAGGCTGTGTATTGGACAGGTGGAAGGATGCTTAGTGTCTGCTTCAGAGTGAGCAGGCTGTGTATTGGACAGGTGGAAGGATGCTTAGTGTCTGCTTCACAGTGAGCAGGCTGTGTTTGGGATGCGTGGAAGGACGCTAAGTGTCTGCTTCAGAGTAAGCAAGCTGTGTATTGGACAGGTGGAAGGACGCTAAGTGTCTGCTTCACAGTGAGCAGGTTGTGTGTGGGATGCGTGGAAGGACGCTAAGTGTCTGCTTCAGAGTAAACCAGCTGTGTATGGACAGGTGGAAGGACGCTAAGTGTCTGCTTCAGAGTAAGCCAGCTGTGTATTGGACAGGTGGAAGGACGCTAAGTGTCTGCTTCACAGTGAGCAGGTTGTGTGTGGGATGCGTGGAAGGACGCTAAGTGTCTGCTTCAGAGTAAGCCAGCTGTGTATTGGACAGGTGGAAGGACGCTAAGTGTCTGCTTCAGAGTGAGCAGGTTGTGTATTGGACAGGTGGAAGGACGCTAAGTGTCTGCTTCAGAGTAAACAAGCTGTGTATGGGATGCATGGAAGGATGCTTGGTGTTTCTGTTCTTGTGCTGTGTATTCGCTCTGTTGTGATCAACATTCAGTGCCTCTAGTGCCCGTCTTCCTGATGACCACTTTTGACAGTGGCACAAACAACATTCCCCCCACTCTGTTGAGTAACTGGAGCAGATACAAATGAGTTCACCCAATTTTTAGTTACATCCTTCTCCTCCCATGATTATTCAGTTGGCATGTTTTACTATGTTTCAAAATGGCTATGGCTTCTTTATGTCTTATTAGTTTGCATGTATACTACTCCACCTTTGATAAGGATATCTTTTGTCTTTCCATCATCTACATATAGAATACTAAACGAGCTCCCGTGTAATACCAATTTTATGAAACTCGTGAATAGTTGTACTATTCACGAGTTTCATAAAATTGGTTTTACACTGGAGCTCGTTTAGTATTTTATTTATTACTTGCCATTCATAACGTTTTTAGAATTATACTGTTGAGTATGAATAGGCTGACACCTACACGATCCATGGCATGGTCCAATTGAGTTTAACAGAATAAAACTTCAAACACGTCAAAAGTTGAAACGTATGAATTTAATACCATACAACGGTCCACCTTTAGATTCACAAAATTATCGTAGGGCTAAGACTATCGCAACTCACATACTTTAACAGACTAATGGCTGTCGTTGCGCTACAATACGGTCGCCTTGTGGAACGGGCCTTGCACCTCAAAGTTTACAATAACGTCACAATACCCGATGACGTAATTTGTGGAATTTTGTTGCAAGATCCATTGGCGAAACAATGCCATGTGACGTCAGCCTAGCAACAAGGTTGCTAGGGTCATCGAGTGTGCATAAGCTCCTCTCAGTGATCTATCATCTCCACATGCAATGTCGTTGAATAAGCCAAGGGATGTTGAGAGCTTTCAATATTTGTTCGTGAAACGTGTTTCAAGAGTACAAAAGCACACGTTTTGGTATTACACAATGTGTAATAAAGCAGGATGTTTATTAAATGGGTGATCTCTTCAAGTACCGGTAATAGAAAAAATGATTCTCTTGATGTGTCAATATTTAATATTTACTGACATCTGATTATCCTTACCAAAAGTGGAGTGGTATGGGTTTACAACCAAAATATAGATCAAGCATTTACAATGTGCTACGTGACTGATTGTGTATAACAGACCAGTGGCAGATTCATAACCTCTGCTCTGAGCCACTGGTTTGCCTGGACCAGACTTTATTTAAAAGCCTAGGGAAGAGGTGCTCAAGTATGATTCTGTTGATGTACAAAACAAAGATTGATTGCTTGAATCTCCAGGTAGATATATCATGGTGGACTACCTGAGAGAGTTGTTCATTCCTGGTGTTTTTGTTGCAGCTACCGGACATTCTGTCTAATAGGTGATGGGGAGAGTGCAGAGGGCTCTATCTGGGAGGCTATTGCGTTCGCCAGCCACTACAAGCTCGACAATCTTGTCTGCATCTTCGACATCAACCGACTGGGCCAGAGCGAGCCCACTAGCCTGGGACATGACACAGATATATACAAGAGGCGCATGGAAGCTTTCGGGTTGGTGGATGGCATTGTACTAGACGAATTGTTGCCTAAATTGTTTTTTTATCACAAGAAAAGTCGCCCCATGGGGTTTCCAGGGCAGAGTAGGTCTCCAGTACCCCGTGCTTGTCTCCCTGTGGTGATTCTGGGGCAGAGAAGGTCCCCTGTACCCCGTGCTTGTCTCCCTGTGATGATTCTGGGGCAGAGTAGGTCCCCAGTACCCCATGCTTGTCTCCCTGTGGTGATTCTGGGGCAGAGTAGGTCCCCAGTACCCCATGCTTGTCTTTCTGTGGGGATTCTTGGGCAGAGTAGGTCCCCAGTACCCCATGCTTGTCTCCCTGTGGTGATTCTGGGGCAGAGAAGGTCCCCTGTACCCCATGCTTGTCTTTCTGTAGGGATTCTAGGGCAGAGTAGGTCCCCAGTGCCCCATGCTTGTCTCCCTGTGGTGATTCTTGGGCAGAGTAGGTCACCAGTGCTCCATGCTTGTCTCCCTGTGTGGATTCTTGGGCAGAGTAGGTCCCCTGTACCCCATGCTTGTCTCCCTGTGGTGATTCTGGGGCAAAGTAGGTCACCTGTACCCCATGCTTGTCTCCCTGTGGTGATTCTGGGGCAGAGTAGGTCCCCTGTACCCCATGCTTGTCTCCCTGTGGTGATTCTGGGGCAGAGTAGGTCCCCTGTACCCCATGCTTGTCTCCCTGTGGTGATTCTGGGGCAGAGTAGGTCACCTGTACCCCATGCTTGTCTCCCTGTGGTGATTCTGGGGCAGAGTAGGTCCCCTGTACCCCATGCTTGTCTTTCTGTGGTGATTCTTGGGCAGAGTAGGTCCCCAGTGCCCCATGCTTGTCTCCCTGTGGTGATGGGCCGCGTCATACAAAAAGACGTTAAAAGATTGTACTTGTTGTTACCCTGTCTGGCGCTCGGCATTAAGGGGCTAAAACAAGGACTGGTCGGCTCAGAGTCAGTATACTGTGTCTGAGTGGGGTATTCATGTTAAACTGCGGCATGGTATCTCAGTGAGCTAGCACTATAAATCGGCATCAGTCCGGACTAGTACAAGCAGCCACACACACACATACACGTGCATGCACGTCGCTATATAAGTGCAATAATCTTGGACGCGACGTTAAACCCAATTTCACCTCACCTCACCCTGTGGTGATTCTTGGGCAGAGTAGGTCCCCAGCACCCCATGCTTGTCTCACTCAGGGGTGGCTACCCATTATCTGCATCCTGACAGTGTTTCATCAATTTTATACTTCCAAATTTGATATGAATGAAATATTGGAGACCATGCCAAAATCAGGTTAACATGATAAAAATTCTGATATGCAATATTTCTTTGTCAGATGGAACACAACCGTTGTTGACGGTCATGATGTAGAGGCTCTAAGCAAGGTGTTCTTCAATGCTGGTACAGTCAAGGGCCAACCAACCTGTATCATCGCTAAGACATTCAAGGGGAAGGGCTGTCCTGGTGAGTTGTATACCTGTATCATTGTTAAGACCTTCTAGGGGAAGGGCTGTCCAGGTGAGTTGTATACCTGTATCATCACTAAGACCTTCTAGGGGAGGGGCTGTGTAGGTGAGTTGTATACCTGTATCATTGTTAAGACCTTCTAGGGGAAGGGCTGTCCTGGTGAGTTGTATACCTGTATCATTGTTAAGACCTTCTAGGGGAGGGGCTGTGTAGGTGAGTTGTATACCTGTATCATCGCTAAGACCTTCAAGGGGCGGGGCTGTCCAGGTGAGTTGTATACCTGTATCATCGCTAAGACCTTCTAGGGGAGGGGCTGTGTAGGTGAGTTGTATACCTGTATCATTGTTAAGACCTTCTACGGGAGGGGCTGTGTAGGTGAGTTGTATACCTGTATCATTGTTAAGACCTTCTAGGGGAGGGGCTGTCCAGGTGAGTTGTATACCTGTATCATCGCTAAGACCTTCAAGGGGCGGGGCTGTCCAGGTGAGTTGTATACCTGTATCATCGCTAAGACCTTCAAGGGGCGGGGCTGTCCAGGTGAGTTGTATAACTGTATCATCGCTAAGACTTTCAAGTAGAGGGGCTGTCCAGGTGAGGTATACCTGTGTCAACGCAAAGACCTTCAAGGAGATTGGCTGTTCATGCGAGTTTTATACCTGTCATATAAGGTGAGGGGCTGTTTTGTATCATGATGCCATGAAATTTAGGTAATCTCTACAGGAAGTCCTTGTGATGTGTTATAGGTATCGAGGACATGGAAAACTGGCATGGTAAAGCCCTTGGTGCCAAGGGAGACGAGTGTATAGAGGCCATCAAGGCCGTCATGTCAAACAACGGTCCTTTCGGCCTCAAGCCTTCAGCCCCCACCATGATCGTGCCAGATGTGGACATCACCAACGTGAAACTTGGCGAGGCACCCAAATACAAGAAGGACGAACAGGTATGTGCTGGCTCAGTGTTATTGTGTATTATCAATACTGCAACAGTTCAATTTAAATGATAGGCCCACCCAGCCATTTGTGTGAGAGTCATTTTGTAATTTAGTCTTATGACAGCAAGACCAACCTAGGAAGGGCTAAAAAGACCCTAATAAATTTTGTAAGATAAAATCATCTAGCTCGTCAGCTGATGTTGTCATCCATCAACTGTCTTCATTTTCAACTGAATTTTTTTGGGCATGTTTATTATAATAAGTTTGTTCAAGGCATCAAAATAAGAATTTCAGTATGGCCGCTAGGTAGCCATCTTTCATTTTTATTTTAACACATACATTAAGGGCCAGAGACCTGAAACATGATGGGTCAAATGGTCACCATAAGTCATGTACTTTCTTCGGAAAGTATGTATTGGAAAATATCATTTGTTTTTAATATCTTTCCTCAGCAACTACATGAGCAATGATGCTGAATTTTGTGTGTTCCCACAAAATATAATGACCCAATTTGTTTCCTGTGTATCATGGCGGTAGTGTTGTGATATAGCTGCACATACTCTAACTGCCAGCTTCCAACATTGTACTTTCAGATTGCTACCCGTGTTGCGTATGGCAGTGCCTTGCTGAAGTTAGGGAAGGCCAACAACAGAGTTGTTGCCCTTGATGGTGATATGAAGAACTCAACATATTCCAACAAGTTCCAGGTGACTCCCTTTAGGTCTGGCTAGTTAAAGTAGCTGTTGTAGTAGCTGCTGCAATAGCTGTTGCAGTAGCTGTTGAGGTAGCTGTTGAGGTAGCTGCTGCATTAGCTGTTGCATTAGCTGTTGTAGTAGCTGTTGCAGTAGCTGTTGCATTAGCTGTTGAGGTAGCTGCTGCATTAGCTGTTGCAGTAGCTGCTGCAGTAGCTGTTGTAGTAGCTGCTGCATTAGCTGTTGTAGTAGCTGTTGTAGTAGCTGTTGCAGTAGCTGTTGAGGTAGCTGCTGCATTAGCTGTTGCAGTAGCTGCTGCAGTAGCTGTTGTAGTAGCTGCTGCATTAGCTGTTGTAGTAGCTGTTGTAGTAGCTGCTGCATTAGCTGCTGCATTAGCTGTTGCAGTAGCTGTTGCAGTAGATGTTGCAGTAGCTGTTGTAGTAGCTGTTGCAGTAGCTGTTGAGGTAGCTGCTGCATTAGCTGTTGCAGTAGCTGCTGCAGTAGCTGTTGTAGTAGCTGCTGCATTAGCTGTTGTAGTAGCTGTTGTAGTAGCTGCTGCATTAGCTGCTGCATTAGCTGTTGTAGTAGCTGTTGAGGTAGCTGCTGCATTAGCTGTTGCAGTAGCTGTTGCAGTAGATGTTGCAGTAGCTGTTGTAGTAGCTGTTGTAGTAGCTGTAGTCGTCGTTCCCCAATTGCAAAGATTGATGCTCATGAGGTCAATCACTGGATCATCTGGTCCAACCTTGTTTGTTTACAGATTGCCGTCATGAAGCTGGAATATTACTGAGTGTGACATTAATCAACAAAAAAACAAAAAAACCTGGCATTAATGGGATAAAACAAGGACTGGTTGTCTCAGTCTGAGTGGGGTATTCCTGGTAGACTGCAGCATGATATCACAGTGGGTTAGCACTATGAAACGAGCACTAGTCTCGACTAGTACACATAGGCACAAGCAAGTAAATTGCATGCATTTTATAAACGCGTGCAAACAATATATAAGTGCAATATTCTTGCATGCCACTTTAACCCACATGTCATGTGACCTGCTACACTTACAATCAGCGATACCATAATACTTATTATTCTTGTTTTGCAGGCTGCTTTCCCAGAACGCTTCATCGAGTGTTTTATTGCTGAGCAGAACATGGTTGGTGTCGGAATTGGCTGTGCAACTCGGGATCGCACCATCGTGTTCATGAGCACCTTCTCCGCCTTCTTCACTCGCGCCTTTGATCAGATCAGAATCGGCGCCATCTCGCAGACCAATGCCAACTTTGTAGGATCTCACGCTGGCGTGTCCATTGGTAAGGCTGACGTCATCACCCCAGGGGCTGACTGGTGTATCTCTCCTCCAGGGACAGGAGGGACCAGTTGGCTCAGGCACCATAGTATGCTATGCATAGCGGCGTCCCTTAGTTGTGCTTGGCAAGTCTACTACTCAGCTTTGATAGGGATAATCAGACATGTCATTCTGTTTAAATATACACTTGACATTTCATGAGAATCAGTTTTGTTTATCATGGAAAGATAAAAAAATATCCCTCTCAAAAGCTGTGAGGTATATGGTGATGAGAGTTTCTAGGTTTGCCAGCACCATGTCCATGTTCGTGAGGTTCACCAAAGTGGCAAACGTCGTAGACCTGCATCACTTCAGGCTTTGTCCCACATCAAGCTATATACCAAGATAGACCGATGTTCATGTCAATCACTGGATTGTCTGGTCCAGACTCGATTATATACAGACCGCCGTCATAGAGCTGGAATATTGCTGAATGCGGCGTTAAACAACAAACAGACACTCAAGATGTAAACCATCACTCTCATGACTTCCAATCCAATTCTTTATTGCCTACAGATGTAGGCTAGCAGCCCGTGGTACATTGTCTAATACAGTATACAGCTCAGTGCAGTTATATATTATAACACTGCGTCGAGCTTTCAGATCATAATACTATAAGTTTCCTAACATTCCTTGCATGGTAGATAAAGGTAGCTAAATTTTTCAAAACTGTTTCATTTGAGGTAGACATGAGTATATATTTAACTTTCCCAGTGATGGATGGAAGTAATATTTCTGGAGTAATACATTTGGCGGAGATCTTTATACACAGAAAATGGAACTCTGCATAGCCAAGGTTATAAACCTTGCATAGTCTTTGTTCTGTAGGTACATGTACATATCTACCTGTCTCAATAGATAACTGACCCGTGAAGACCGGGGGTAGAAAAGGTCTTCAGCAACCCATGCTTGCCATAAAAGGCACTTGTCGTAAGAGGCGACTAACGCTGACTTGATTGATGCATGTCATCGATCCCAATTGTGTGGATCGATGCCCATGATGTCAGTCACTGGATTGTCTGATGCAGACTGCCGCCATATAGCTGGAATATTGCTGAGTGCAGCAGTAAACAACAAACAAACAAACAATCAATAGATAACTGATATGAGCTACAGCAGAACTCTGCAATAGCATCCCTGAATTTACTGTATTTATAGAAGGCTCAACAGAAAGTTTATTCTTGAATATTGAATAATGAAACATCTTCGTACTACCACATATCTCAGCATGCCAGACCTGTTGATGGGTGACATTTAATCTGCAAATAAATTCTGCTATAAACATGATAAAAGATTCCTGACTGTCAAGTCTCAGCTTTTCCCAAATAAATCCAGAACCATATTTGTGGAGAAGGGACTTTCTCTTTGATGCCACTCTCATGACTTAATTACATATTTATGAGGGGCGTTGGGGTAGCCTAGTGGTTAAAGCGTTTGCTCGTCACGCCGAAGACCCGGGTTCGATTCCCCACATGGGTACAATGTGTGAAGCCCATTTCTGGTGAGTGATATTGCTGGAATTTTGCTAAAAGCGGCGTAAAACCATACTCACTCACTCACTCTCACATATTTATGTGCCACAGGTGAGGACGGTCCTTCCCAGATGGCGCTAGAGGACCTTGCGATGTTCCGTACCATCCCCGGGTCGACTGTGTTCTACCCCAGTGATGCAGTGTCAGCCGAGCGAGCCGTGGAGCTTGCTGCCAACACCAAGGGAATCTGCTTCATCCGGGTCTCTCGCCCCAACACTCCCATTCTCTATGAGTGCAATGAGAAATTCCAAATTGGGAAAGCAAAGGTGAAGTTCTGTAATTCTTTTAAGAGTTATTTTTTTCTAGAGCCTTAATAATGGCCACAATGACTGACAAGCTTTTTCTAATACCCCGTTCACATGCACCTCTATACGTATGTGTATGTGCATACGTGTTGACTGAAGTTATATCTTTACTCAAACATATAAAGTCAGAAGGAATAGGTGCATAGTCAGAAAGAAATGCAAACGTTAGTGGCTTGTAGTGTAACCACTGATTTTTAGATAACTTTTGTCATTAAACAATATATCATGTGACTAACCACGTGTCCGGGTTGTCCTGTAGGTACCCAGGTCTTGGTCAGGACCCACCTTACCTGAGTACCCAGGTCCTACTCAGTACCCACCTTACCTGAGTACCCAGGTCCTACTCAGTACCCACCTTACCTGAGTACCCGAGCTACCCATCCCAGCCCAAAAGGAAACCCACGTTTACACATTAAGGGAAAATTAGCTTTTGGGAAAAGCCCATGTTAACATTAAACTTAACTTTAAAAAAAAATATTAACCTTTCCATTTTCATTTATTAACACTCCATATTCCTTTACAGAATATTTAAACAAAGTTCATCTTGCCAGGCATTCCTAAAGGAAAAGCTTTCCAATTTCAAAATATTCAGCAGTTATGATTTCACAGTTTTAAGCCAGTTTATTAGCCCTGTTCAACAAAGTGATGCTAGGGCTATGGGAGTCAGTCATCTTGGCACCAAGATTGTTTTGTAGAATAGGGCCCATGTCCTGTACTGAGGCCTTCTTATAATAAAAGCAATTAGTTTATGCAATATTTCTCATATATCATATTACTGTTAAAGAAGATAAGAAACACCATCATTAATTGATGAATCAAATGTGTGTGGATAATACGAGGGGATGATTATTGCCATAAAAAGGTTGAACCTGCATGAACAGAATTGAAAATTTCTTGCCAAATACTTCCTTCTCTTTTAGGCATCCCTTATCCAAACCTATCAGTGGGGCATGGGTGGCCCAGTTGTCTGAGGCTCCATAGTCACTGTCTGCCACCCACTCATGCTGTGTACCCGTGAAGATCCGGGGTAGAATAGGTCTTCAGCAACCCATGCTTGCCATAAAAGGCGACTATGCTTGTCGTAAGAGGCGACTAACGGGATCGGGTGGTCAGGCTCGCTGACTTGGTTAATGCATGTCATCATATCCCAATTGCGTGGATTGATGCTCGTGATATCAATCACTGGATTGCCTGGTCCAGACTCAATTATTTACAGATCGCCGTCATATAGCTGGAATATTGCTGAGTGCTATGTTAAACAACAAACAAAGTAATGCTGTGGTTTGTGATGCATAGAACATGGGAGACAACTCTTACTTAGGAGATAAACATTGTGCTTTCAGTCTGTGTCCCACCTTCCTAATGTAAACATATCGTGATGATTTTGAGCATCTATTATACATAGACGATTTTTGGCTTCAAACCCCATTTAAAACCACTTTCATCTGACCAGATTACGGCACACACTTTGGTTAAATATCAGGACAAAAAATATTTGTTGACATCTGTTAAAATGGCATCTACGTTTATGTTATTGTAGATTGTGCGCCAGAGTGATAGCGATGTTGTGACAATCGTAGCATCATGTGTGACACTTGTGGAGGCGTTAAAGGCTGCAGACACTCTCGCATCCAGTGGCGTGAATGTCAGGGTCATCGATCCCTTCACTATCAAACCCATTGACGCTGCCACCATCATCAGCAGCGCTAGGAAGACAAATGGTCGCATCATCACTGTGGAGGACCACTATCCTGAAGGTACGCAACATTACCACAATATCATCACAACATCACCGCCACATCACCGTCATGTCACTGTCATATCACTGTCACATTGCCGCCTCATTCCCACATCACCAAACATCCCCACGCACCGCAACATCACCGCCACATCACCATCACATTGCTGCCTCATTCCGACATCACCAAACATCCCCACTTCACCACAACATCAACGCCACATCACCGCCACATCACTGTCACATCACTGTCACATTGCCGCCTCATCCCCACATCACTGCAACATCACCGCCACATCACTGTCACATTGCCGCCTCATCCCCACATCACTGCAACATCACCGCCACATCACTGTCACATTGCCGCCTCATTCCCACATCACCGCAACATCACCCCAACATCACCCCAACATCACCCCAACATCACCCCAACATCACATCAGTTACATTCCCACAATATCATCACATCACCACATTACCGCCGCAACATCGCCACTACACCACCACCACATATACCCACATCACACCAAACATGACAGGCATTGAAAGTGTATCGCAACAAACGTAAACCAACAATGCACCCCTAAAGTAGATGAAACAAGCCTTGCAAGATTTAGTTTTTACCCCTCACTATTGTGATGTCACACTGTGTAGTTTATTTTAACATCCATGAAATGTCAGTCGGATATAGAAAAGCACAGACTTTTCAAGCTCAGTTTGTCCTAATAGTGGAAACTCTCTCTCTTACTATTTGATTTGTGTTCTGCTAAAATGATATTGCCACACATACTCGGCATTTTTAAAGCTATAGTTGTTCAGGTCATTATTTCCACAAACTACAATTAGGGAAGAAGTATGTTTCTACCAATCTTAGGTTCTGTGTGGATGGGGATGTCAAGTCAACGAAAACTGTTTCTATCAGAGGTGGTTATTGTGATTTGAAGCCCTGATTCAGCAATCGGGATTACTGTATTCGACATAATAAGCGCCAAGTGCGCTCTCAAAATTAGAAATAGGGGGCTTATTAGAAAATTATTTTGGTGTTGAAAGATAAATTTCGTGGTTTATGCTGACAGCCTGAAATGTTTATATACGACAGATATTTTTTTCCAGAATTTAATTGACCGCCACTGTGGTCTAGTGGTAGAGCGTTCGCCTGGAGAGCGGAAGGTCCGGGGTTCGATCCCTGGCCGCGTGATACCAAAAGACATTAAAAGAGGGTACTTGTTGTTACCCTGTCTGGTGCTCAGCATTAAGGGGCTAAAACAAGGACTGGTCGGCTCGGAGTCAGTATACTGTGTCTGAGTGGGGTATTCATGTTAAACTGCGGCATGGTATCTCAGTGAGCTAGCACTATAAATCGGCATCAGTTCGGACTAGTACAAGCAGACACACACACACACACACGCTCACACTCACACTCACACTCACACTCACACTCACACTCACACACACGTACATGTACATGCACGTCGCTATATAAGTGCAATAGTCTTGGACGCGACGTTCAACCCCATTTCACCTCACCTCACCTCACCAGAATTTAATTGCCCATAATTAAGGGTGCATATAACACACCAGTGCGTATCATAAGCGAATGAATAAGTCTTGTGTGCATTGATCAATCGGAAGGGGTGCTAATTGGCATTGTTCACTCGCCAATATATTATGAAAAATCGCCGTGGGCGCTTATTAGAGCAGGGCGTTTATTACGTCGAATACGGTATGTATATTCCAATTCGTGAAAGAATAACTAACAAGCGTATTTGTTTGTGTCCTTAGGAGGAATAGGGGAGGCTGTGCAGAGTGCGGTCAGCATGGAAAAGGACATCATCGTGAAACGACTAGCAGTCCAGGAGGTCCCACGCAGCGGTAAACCAGCTGAACTCATTGAGAAGTATGGAATCAGTGCCAACTGTATCGTCAAGGCTGTCAACCAGATTATGTCTCAGTGAGCTCGACAACTGCCACTGTACAGAACAAAGGAAAGATTCCGTTGTGTTTCCTTTGAAAGGAAACAGGCCACCATTGTAAACTGCATTTAGGAAATCATTAAGAGGGGGAAATATGTTTTGTTAATGTTTCTGTTATGAACAGTTGTTTGTGCATTTGTCAAGTGATTATGGATGATCTTGAATATTCACATGGGCATTTCATTGTGGATAGTATGTTGTGTCAGTGTGTTAGCACAAGAATGATATCACTTTGTTGTATTGTAAGGTCCTTGTTAAGGGATGTGTTTGTCACAGCTCCAGTGCTTGTTGATCAACTGTTACAGCGTGTGCAGTTTGCCATACATTGTTGAGCCTTGTTTTAGTACAGAGAACATGAACCAATGACTACATACAGTGAGGTGTGAAATAAAAATATAGGGAAATGTTTATAGTTTTATTTTATATATATATAGCTTTTTACTGTTGCAAGAAATTTAATCAAGACTAACAAAGTATATGACTCTTCTGAACTTCTATTTCTAATTGAACATTTACTGTGCTAGTTGCTAACTTTTGTTTTTTACAAGTCTACATCAGTCTGCTTGCTACCCCTTTAGTAAATGTCTTTAGTAGGGGATAGGCCTTGTACACCAGGGGGCACCTGTGAACTTCAGCATAATTACAGCCTTGATATATTGCCTTAAGTTTCATCTTTGAAATAAAAATGGATTATGAACTGATTGAGTTTGTTTTGTGCCTACGCTTGACCTTGACATTCAGAATATGGCCATGAATATATTGCCAAGCTCACTCCTGCCACCAAGAGTGAGGGTGATTTTGGTCTTAGACCCTCTTTGAATAGCATTTTGGTTTAATATCAATTAGTCAGCTGAAGGTGAGGGCAAGGTCAAATGCAGGTCCTAGACTTTTCAGTGAGTTTGGTTTTCATGACACTTTGAACAGTAGTTCAGTTTTGGGGACTGGTCATTTATTATTGGGAGGAGGGAGATTGGTCTCTCTCCTCTCTCTCTCTCTCTCACAGACCGCCTCCGTGGTCTTGTGGTAGAGCGTCCGCCCTGAGAGCGGAAGGTCCAGGGTTCGATCCCGGGCCGCGTCATACAAAAAGACGTTAAAAGATTGTACTTGTTGTTACCCTGTCTGGCGCTCGGCATTAAGGGGCTAAAACAAGGACTGGTCGGCTCAGAGTCAGTATACTGTGTCTGAGTGGGGTATTCATGTTAAACTGCGGCATGGTATCTCAGTGAGCTAGCACTATAAATCGGCATCAGTCCGGACTAGTACAAGCAGCCATACACGTGCATGCACGTCGCTATATAAGTGCAATAATCTTGGACGCGACGTTAAACCCAATTTCACCTCACCTCTCTCTCACACTCACACTCACACTCACACTCACACACACTCACACTCACACTCACTCACACTCACACTCACACCTACACACCTATGACATGCTCCTGGCTTGCCTCTGGGCTGCAACACTGCACAGTGAATTCCAGTGCCACAGACAATTGGAACCTGATTCCCTGCTCCTGCCAACATGTAGAACCATTGAAAAAAATACAATAACCTGAATTGTGGGTGATAGGTGTCCTGCACCAGGTTTAATGCATAATTATTGCTTTGGTAGCATCAGCACAGCATGGTTTTGTAGGAAGTGCCTTGTGACTGGAGAAGTGGGTGGTTCTATCCCCAGCCACATCATTCCAAAAGAGACCGCCTCTGTGATCTAGTGGTAGAGCGTCCGCCCGGAGAGCGGAAGGTCAAGAGTTCGATCCCCGGCCCGTCATACCAAAAGACGTTAAAAGATGGTACTTGTTGTTACCCTGTCTGGCACTCGGCATTAAGGGGCTAAAACAAGGACTGGTCGGCTCGGAGTCAGTATACTGTGTCTGAGTGGGGTATTCATGTTAAACTGCGGCATGGTATCTCAGTGAGCTAGCACTATAAATCGGCATCAGTCCGGACTAGTACAAGCAGCCATACACGTGCATGCACGTCGCTATATAAGTGCAATAATCTTGGACGCGACGTTAAACCCAATTTCACCTCACCTCTCTCTCACACTCACACACACTCACGCTCTCACACACACTCACACTCACACACACTCACACTCACACTCACACTCACACCTACACACCTATGACATGCTCCTGGCTTGCCTCTGGGCTGCAACACTGCACAGTGAATTCCAGTGCCACAGACAATTGGAACCTGATTCCCTGCTCCTGCCAACATGTAGAACCATTGAAAAAAATACAATAACCTGAATTGTGGGTGATAGGTGTCCTGCACCGGGTTTAATGCATAATTATTGCTTTGGTAGCATCAGCACAGCATGGTTTTGTAGGAAGTGCCTTGTGACTGGAGAAGTGGGTGGTTCTATCCCCAGCCACATCATTCCAAAAGAGACCGCCTCTGTGGTCTAGTGGTAGAGCGTCCGCCCGGAGAGCGGAAGGTCAAGAGTTCGATCCCCGGCCCGTCATACCAAAAGACGTTAAAAGATGGTACTTGTTGTTACCCTGTCTGGCACTCGGCATTAAGGGGCTAAAACAAGGACTGGTCGGCTCGGAGTCAGTATACTGTGTCTGAGTGGGGTATTCATGTTAAACTGCGGCATGGTATCTCAGTGAGCTAGCACTATAAATCGGCATCAGTCCGGTCTAGTACAAACAGCCACACACATACACGTGCATGCACGTCGCTATATAAGTGCAATAATCTTGGACGCGACGTTAAACCCCATTTCACCTTACCTCACCTCACCTTTGCATTCCAAAAGATGGTACTTGATGTTACCCTGGATGGCACTGCATAAGGGGATAAAGCAAGGACTGGTCAGTATACTGTGTCTGAGTAGGGTATCCATGTTTAACTGGGACATGGTATCTCAGTGGGCTGGCACTATAAAACCAGCATTTGTCCTGAGTTAGTACAGGTTGCCACACATAGCCACACATAGCCACACACAAGCATGTACATCGCTGAATGAGTGCAATAATATTGAATGGATGTTTAACCCCATTTCACCTGACCTCACCTCAATTGTGGAGACCTTGGGATTTGGTGGTGCAAACTGATCCACACTCAGTGTATTTACAGGCAGCCATGATGTAGCTGATATACTGCTGAATGATTCGCTCACTCATTCACTACACAATGTCAAAAGATATCAAGTGACACTCTCAACTGCAACTAAAAAAAGTTGACAGGATAAATGTGGATATTTATCGAAGCATTCGTAAAATCTAATTGGCACGTCTAATTTTTAAAGGGAGACAACTTTAGTTGGTGATAAACTTGTAGGCCTGTTGCAGTTATTCTGTAATGCATATTTATTGTCTTCAACAAGGGTGAATACGACAGCATATTTTATTATAAGATCATTAAAGGGGGATGAGCCTCTGACAAGTTGACAGGCCCAGCAGGCGATGTGTAAATAACAATTCAGACAATAACAATTGTACCAGACAATCCAGTGATTGACATCATGAGCATCAATCACAATTAGATACAATGACATGCATCAACCAATTCCATTGTGTCCGACCATCCGATCTATTTAGTAGTCACCACTTGCGACATGCATACATTGCTGGGTACCCATGTTTGGAATCTCCACTGATGAATCCACGATCTTATTACAAGCATGGGTTGCTGGAGACCAATTCTAACCTGTATCTTCACAAAATAGCATTATGCACATAACACCGTACATAGAGGCAATGTCTTCGTGTTTAACAGGGCACTACTTCCAACATCCAGACCTTGACTGGAAATATTCACCAGAACCTGGATCATGGCCTCCCTTTGACTAGTCTCCCTGTTGTTTGTTAGTTTTTAGTTGTTGTTAAACGCAGCACTCAACAAGCTATATGACTGCGGTCAGTTAAAAATCGAGTCTGGACAAGACAATCCAGATATTGACATCATGAGCATCGATCTACGTAAAAGGGATACGCTGACATGCATCAACCAAGTCAGCGGGCCTGACCAACCGATCCCGTAAGTCGCCTCTTGCGGCAAGCATAGTCGCCTTTTACGGCAAGCATTGGTTGCTGAAGACCTATTCTACCTCGGATCTTCACGGGTACCCCCTTTAGATACGTTCGAAAGACTCCCTTTAAATGCTTTGATCGTTTCCCATTAAATGCTTCCTTGAGAGGTATTTGGAAGTTGGAGTTCTAAGTAAGGATAAGATATATGGATGAAAAACATCTTCATTACAATTAGGAGGGACAGTGTAGGTTATAACGCCGTTATCAAGCATGTGAGAACATACACCGAAACGTCGCTCCTAATTTTAATAAAGAAATTGTTCATCCATATAGCCTATTGTAAAAAGAGACTAACGGGATCGGGTGGTCAGGCTCACTGACTTGCTTGGTGCATGTAATCGTATCCCAAATGCGTGGATCGATGCTCATGGTGTCAATCACTGGATTGTACGGAAGCCTTTTAGGGCCATTTGTTTTTGGGTTTTTTTCGATACTATCTTGAAATTTCAGGTTACTAAGTTATAATTTAAAGATACTATCTTGAAATTTCAAGATACTAAGTTGAAATTTCAAGATACTAAGTTAAAATTCAAGATACTAAGTTGAAATTTCAAGACTTTCTTGAAATTTTAAGATACTAAGTTGAAATTTCAAGATAATAAGTTTTTAACATCCTAAGATGTAAAAATACGTTTGAAGTGAATAATCTTGAAATATCAACTTCGTATCTTGAAATTTCAACTTAGTATCTTGAAATTTCAACTTCTCTATCTTTAGATTTCAACTTAGTATCTTGAAATTTCAAGATAGTATCTTGAAATTTCAACTTCTCTATCTTGAAATTTCAACTTAGAATCTTGAAATTTCAAGATAGTATCGAAAAAAATAAAAAAACAAATGGCCCTAAAAGGCTTCCGTAGGATTGTCTGTCTTGTCCAGACTCGATCATGTTTTCAGACTGCTGTCATATAGCTGGAATATTGCAAAGTGTGGCGTTAAACAACAACGAAACAAACAAACATGTAAATATCCCCAAAAATATTCATGATCACTAAGTTCAGTATACTTCTACCCAGCACAGGTGACGATACAGTAAGCCCTCATATTGCATTGTCATATGATATTATCAGATCAGCGGCACGTGCAAGTCGTATATATAGACTAATGCATCTTGATGAAAACCAAGAGTATCGACCGCCTCCGTGGTCTTGTGGATAGTGTCCGCCCGGAGACCGTTCGATCCCCAGCCGCGTCATACCAAAAGACGTTAAAAGATAACTTTCGGTTACCCTGCCTGGCTTGGCATTAAGGGGCTAAAACAAGGACTGGTCGGCTCGGAGTCAGTATACTGTGTCTGAGTGGGGTATCCATGTTACACTGCGGCATTAGTCCGGACTAGTACAAGCAGCCACACACGCACGCACGCACGCACGCACGCACGCACGCACGCACACACACACACACACACACGTGCATTCACGTCGCGGCTTAAGTGCTATAATCTTGAACGCGACGTTAAACCCCATTTCACCCCACGAGCGTCGAACCTGTGATATGCGATACATAGTCGTGTTGTGAGGTTGTTTCAGTTAATAACGTATAATCTTCATGTATACCAATACCCCGTACACATGCACAACATTTACTCACGTAAGTAATTTTGCACAGGTGTAACTATACATACGTGTGTATATGTATTTACTATGCGTTCACA